ATGTGTCATGTCATGTGTCATGTCATGTGTCATGTCATGTGTCATGTTGTCATGTTATGTCATGTTATACATCATGTTATGTGTTATGTGTCATGTCATGTGTCATGTTACGTGTCGTGTTGTGTCATGTGTCATGTTACATGACATAACATGACATATAACATGACATATAACATGACATATAACATGACGCATAACATGACACACGACACGACACACGACATGACACACGACATGACATAACATGACGTATAACATGACACATGATGCATAACATGATGTATAACATGACACAACACGACACATAACATGACATATCATTACACATATCATGACATAACATGACACATGCATGACATGACATGTCATGATATGTGTAAAGATATGTCATGTTATGTGTCGTGTTGTGTCATGTTATACGTCATGTTATGTGTCATGTCGTGTGTCATGTCATGTCATGTTATGTGTCATGTTATATGTCATGCTATGTCATGTCATGTTATATGTCATGCTATGTCATGTCATGTCGTGTCATGCTATGTGTCATGTTATGTCGTGTCATGCTATGTGTCATGTTATGTGTCATGTTATGTGTCATGTTATGTCATGTTATATGTCATGTTATGTGTCATGTCATGAGTCATGTTATGTGTCATAATCTAAACTGTGACATCTTGTCCTACTTCTGTTCTTCTGATACGACATATGGTGACAAGAGGAATCAAAAGAAGAAGACAACTTTTCTGCATTACTTCAAAAGGTTCTCTAGGACACTGGATAAAAATAATCTCTCTCCCCCCCATTATCATCAAAAAGCAAAGAACTGAGACTTTTCTGCTGATCGGTGCTTCTCTGATAAACAGAGAAAAGTTCAGTTCAAGCTGAGAAAAGAACACCTTGTGCAAGTCTGGATAAATACGATTAATGACAGATTTTTATTGAGCAACATAGAAAATATGTTTGGGGAGAAACTCTAAACTTTAACTGTTCTCTCTTCAACAGCTAAATGATGAAACATTAAAAAAAAGACTGGATGAAGTTTAAAAGTTCACCACAGACAAAAACAGACAGTTAAATCATCCCTGTGCCTGATGCTGATGAAAAGAGAGCATCTTGTACAAACTGGAGTAAAATGATGGAAAGGCAAAGACCAGACCATGTGGACAGTCCAGAACATCTTGATGGAGGCAAAGGTCCATAAACATAAAAATCTGTTCCACGCAGTCGGTCTAAACACTCATGACGGTACCACTCGTGTCCATCCACAGTTTCACTAACGTGTATTTCTGGTCAGTATAAGAGTAAAGGCAGTAATCAAAGTACCATATTTTTTGGTCTAAGTCGCGTTTTTTGCATAATTTACATGCCGTGTGATTTATACACCGAAGCAACGTATTTATGAATTTTCTCCCATATTTATAAACCAAATTTTGCCTGAGGTGTGATCATGTTCATTCATTCTGACTGAAAATATTGAGCACTACCATTTTCAGTCACTAGATGGCACTCGAGTAGTATGGCATGCCGTTGTGCCATGTAAAGTTGCTATTAATGACACAATTGGCTTGCCATAGCGTGCCACCTTCGTCCATCTCGCCTGAAGCAACCGGCAAATCATTTCGTTGTGCCGTCCCAGCAAAATGCAGCTAATTTGACCATTAAAGTGCATTTATTAAGTAAAAGTTCAACTGAGACGCGCCTTTACTTTAATTTTGAACAAACAATTATTTTTACGTGGTTATCTTGTTAAATTCTTGTTAAAGTCCTGCAGTGCACGCTTCCGCGGCCACCATTTGGCAGCCAATCGATTTTTGGCACAACACAGGCCCACATTCTCGGGTTGTCAGCGGTGACGCAATAGATGCAACTTATACGGTGAAGCGACACATTTATGGATTTTTTTCACTTTATTAGACATATTTGGACTGACGACAATTTTAGGGCGGTGCCGAAAAATACGGTATACGTTTATACGGTTGTAATTGTTCAACATAAAGAAAACATCCTTCCTGTGGGTGAATTTTTAGACTGTTTGACTGTCTTTATACCTACTTGGATCTAAAAATGAGCAGAAATGGTATAAACTGCTCGTGCATGTGTGTGTGTGTGCAGTGAAACCAGCTGGTTTCAATATAAAGCCTGGAAACTGTCAGAATGACGTCCAAACAGTGTTTACAGCAGATAATTGCAACTGAACGCAACATTTGGACTTGGTTTTCAGTTGTGATGTTCTCTCAAAGATATGTTTGGATCAAAATTCAAATGCAATAGAGATTATTTGTACATTTTTTTAGCATGCATCTAAATATTTGTGCAAAAAATTAAACTTTTATGCAATAAATGCGAGTGTGTTAAAGAATACGTGCAAGACAAATGGTGCCACTTACCCCACGGTCTCCGTTGTATTTTTCCACAAACTTGCCATAGTTGTAGTAGTTGAATGTCGGGTAGCCCTCGACCCCCTCCTGCTTACAGAGCTCATGGTTCTGTCCTTTTGTGCAGTCCACAGCAGCGTACACAATCTAAACGGGAAGAGTTCAACCGTCAGAGAGATTACCGACAAAGAAAAGACGAAACTTATTTAAAAAGAGCTCAGGAGAAGACAAGAAGACAGTTTCCAGTTTGTCCAGCCTCCGTACAGAATCTGACTGTCCAACAAAATCTTTGGTTGTCTTCAGCCTTTACAATGAAGAAGGCAAAAATATGTTTAATTCAATAAAAGTACTGCACGATATACAAAGTTTACTTTAAGTAAATGTTCTCAGTCGGCCATCTTGTGGCTTGCTTGGAGTTTCCAAGCTGCCGAGTGTCATGGATTCTTTCAGGAGCTGAAGGAGTGGAGCGTCCTGGTTCTCCTCCTCAGATGTTACAAGAGAAACGCTCGCAGAGTATTTATGGCACGGAAAAAATATTTGACTGAAACTTTGTCTACACCCAAACGCAGAATACACAATATACTGTGTACATGACCTTAGTAAAAGTACACAGTATTCTGTGTACATGAATTAGTAAAAGTACACAGTATACTGTGTACATGAATTAGCTCATTTTCTCTGAGCAGTTCATCACCGTGGCAGCACGGTGGCTCAAAGGTGGCAAGTTGCCGGATCAAGTTCCAAGAAATCGAACTTGAACACAAAACTAAAATGTCCTCTGCAAGGGATCGGTCTGCTTTACAAAATTATTACCACAGATTGTCAGAAATTAAGTTTTAAGTGTTAAAGGTTGTTTTTATTTGGGCCACACGGTGGATCAGTTGGTAGAGTTGCCGCCGCTCAGAGAAAAGATTGCCGGCTCAAATCCCAACCCGGGAACCTTTCTGGATGGAACAAAGTTCAGTCAGGTCATCTGGATGGTTTATTTTTGTTGTCGAGACATTTCGTCCTCCTTATTGAGCATGAACTTTGATGTTTTGAACCACTTTGGCATGACTGTCTCAGAGGAGTCGACGGGGAAGAGGGCGGGCCCCATCAACCACCTTATCACCAGCAAACTGGTTGGTCCACGATGAGTGTGCTGCTTGTGGGACTCAGTTTGTTGTGGCTCCTTCGACTGATGAAGTCCTTTGGATGACGGATGAAACGTCTCAACAAAAAAAACGAAAGACACCATACAGAAAACCTGACTGAACTTTGTTGGATTTTTACCTGGATTAACGAACTTTGATATTTCTGGGTGGAGTTTGCATGTTCTCTCCGTGCATGCGTGGGTTTTTCTCCAGTTTCCTCCCACAGACCAAAAACATGCATGTTCGACTGATTGGTAACTCTAAATCATCCCTAGGTGAGAGAGAGAGTGGTTGTTTGTCTCGTTTGTCTCTGTGATGGACTGGAGACTAGTTAAAACATCGACTCTGCTCAGCTGATCAGCACAAGTTTAGTATAATAGTGGACGAAACATCTGTTCACATCCTTTAAGACGTCCTACTGAGAAAAGTGGCTACTCTGAGGCAGGAACTACAAAAGAACAGTTATAAATACTACAAATGACCTCAGTGCTGTCAGAGATGATTAGGACTGTAAACTGTGATCCAAACACACGTTCTGTTTTAGGACAAACCAAAGAAAAGCAGCAGCCGCTGGTAGAACCAACAATCTTCATCCGTCTGCTCGTCCCGGTGTCATCAATCAAAGCTGCGATGAATTGACAGCAGAAAATGAAGTTGTACAGTCGTCGTTCTTGAAAGGTCTGCAGCTAATTCTGTTATTGATCCATCTTCGAGTGACAGCGGGCCCAGCACCGAGCCGTTTACTGGATCTCTAAATTACCAGCTGGCTTGATTTCAATCTCGCAGCATCACACCCGGGAGCAAAATGATACACAAACTGTTGTGATCCGTGAGACAAGTGTCTTAACACAACAAGACAAATAAGGTTACAAGATACGGCTGAGAGAGATCACTTAATAAAAATAGAAGACACTGTAACCCA